CTAGTGTTCACTGCAGTAATTGCATGATTTTAACTAAATGTCCGGTAATCCAATAAGCAATGCCTTTTAACAGTGTTAACATAAAGCCTTTTAATTTTTTTTTTTTTTTTCTCTTTGGAAACACAGATCCTTGACTGGAAGAGAAAGTTACATACAATTTAGCTCTACTCTTAAAATGATAAGAGAAGAAAGCAGAAGAATTGAATAAAGATTTCCACATGGAAAAGAAAATCTCCAGAGGTAAATAAAATAGGATCAGAGCTGCAAATGTACTAACACCATCCGTGCTGAGGAGGGAGGGGGCACAGGAAGAGGAGACGCTGTTGTTCGGATTCGTACATGCCAAGGGCGGAAAGGAAAGGGCTGCCACCCACTGGGTCCCATAGCTGGAGCTAACATTAAAATCTCCGCTTCAGACACTTGGAAATAAGTGACCTAGTTGTTAATTCTAGTGACAGTGATATAGAAAAGAAGGCCTACCTATATTTTAGACCTCTTTTATTTTCGTTTTTCCCACTACAATAATTTTTAATGCAACCATCAAGGGGAAATAAGAAAAAAATCATTTTTGTACTCAAGACTGTGCTATTGTGTTAACTTTTCCTTATAGTTTCCTTACTACTAGTGTTTACAAAGATTAGAGAGAAAAGATACCATGCTTTTGGTATATCACAGACAACTTAAGAAAACTTAATTGTTGGGGGCTGGGGATTTAGCTCATCGGCACAAGTGCCTGCCTTGCAAGCAGGCAGTCGTGAGTTCGATCCCTGGTCCCGGTAAAAATATATATAGAAAAAAAGAAAACTTAATTGTTATTTTATGTTTTCTTAAAATTCAAAATCTCCTAAAAACAGTGACTAAAACTACAAAATAGAATCAAGCTTTGCATTAGTAAATGTGATTCTATTCTAGAGGACATGTCAGTTTGCTCAGTTACACTGTTTTACCTTGCCCACAAACATCGAGAAGATGGAATTCTTAATTGTTTCTCTCAGTGGGTCTTAGGCAGAATGACCAGTTGTTTGTGTAAAATACACAGAACCTAACAAAACCTAGTCAAGATCCATCCAGAGCAGACCAGTACATGTCTTATAATAGGGCATGTTACCTTTACTGACTTCATTTATCATTACAGTTAGTCATGGCCCCAGTTTGAGACACTTGCTAGCATTTACCAAGGGTCTCTCTTCCCAGTAAAAGCCATTAAGCATCTTTCAGAATCTATTCCTATGTAGTTCCTCCCTTTTTATATTCAGTTACATTTTAAATACATTTGCAAATATATTATGCATATTTTTCTGCAACTGCTTTACATTGTTTTGCATCTGGTATTATCATGCACCTCCTTTACATGTCAGCAATCATAGTTTCCTGGTGTCATAGTTTCCTAGTGTTCCATAGAATTTCATGGACCATACTAAATACACATGATGTAATGTCACTGAATATACTTTACATATTATTTTTTTTACTTTATATATTATCTCAGTGAGCTACTTTAAATATTTTGATTTAGCTTTTACAAACAATGCTGTAATGAACATTTTATATGAATCTCTCTATGTGTTATATTACACTGGCAAGACAGATTTTAAAAAATAGAATTGTTGAGTCAAAGGAATATGCCTTTTTATTGTTCAGGCTACAGGTTTGCATTCTATTAATGAATGTTTCTTTTTATTGTTGTTGTTTTGGTACTGGGGATTGTGATAGCTCAGACCCCAGAATAAAACCCAAGGAAGCAAGAAATTAAAATTTGGGGAGTAAAGGCTTTATTTTTAGGCCAGACCTGGCGTCACAGTCTCCAGGAGCCAATTTGGAGACTGCAGGCCTCACAGCTAAGGGAAGTGGCTTTTAAAGTTAAAAATCAGGTTCAAAAGTTTAGGCAACAGCTGTGAAGATGGTGGGATTCATTATGACGCCCATTCTGGTTGACTATTATCTACTTTTGAAGACATATAATGTCTCCAATGTTTTGGTTTTGTTGGTTTTGTTCTTTACTGTTTTGTTCAATTTTATTATAACTGATGATATAGGCAATTCTATTAGAGATAGCGGGAGGCATTATGGTAACCATTGTTAATCACCTTGTATTATGCTTTTACACTATCTATTATGTTCACCCTTTTGATTTGACTGACTCTGTTCTGTTGTGTCACATTTGGTTCTACTCTCTTCCAAAAAAGTAATAAGAACTGTGGGAGCAACAAAACCCAAAATGTGTAATTGTCATTGTACAAAAGAGAGGAAAAGAAAGTGTTCTAAACGATATGACTGCATGTATATTTAAGTGTGTAAGATAGATAATGATATCACTGAGTTTTGTTGGATCATTGAACAGAACTGTTTGCAGTCTCACTGTTGGAATGTCTACTTTATAAGCTTTAATTTTGTAACTTGAACAATTATTTCTAAGATGACAATATATAATCCATTAACTAGTGATTTCCTACTGTTTATTTTTTTCTGTAAATCTGTATAACTTGTACCCTTTCTCTGCTTTTTTTTCTTTTTCTCCTTAAATAAACTTAAAAAAAAAAAAGTTAAAAACCACAGGAATGCTTTAACTGTTGACACAGCTAGATAGCAGTTGGGCCTTACAGAACTTCTTGTAATTTCCTTGAAGTTAAGCATTTCTTAAAGAACAGTGAGGGGTAGGGGAGGGGGTTACAGGAAACTGATACCTAAGGCTTTTACAGCTTTCTCAGGAAATTGAAACTTAACCTAGATAGATAGGAAGGGGAAAGGGGAGAGGGAGGCAGTAAGACGCATACAGAACAGAATATGAGGTACAATGGTTAAAACTAGGTTACAACAGGGATCAAACTATGACTTCGTTTTTGCAGGCAGATGCTTGTGCTGCTGAGCTATAGCCCCTGCCTCAATATTTCTTAATTAATATAATGTGCATATAGAAAAGTGTATTATAGTTATTTGGCTTAATGAGCTTCACCAACAGAATATATTGCTATAACCTATCCAGAAAAAGAATCATAATATTAACAGAAATCCAGAATCCACATTAATATCATCTTTTAGTTACTGTTCTTCTGAAGAGTAGTTTTTGGCCTCTAAAATTACAGGTTAGTTTTGAACAGTTTTGGACTTCATCTGATTCTTATATAAACAGAACCATACACAGTTCATAATCTTGTTTTTGGCTTCCTTTTGGTACATGTATTTAACATATCTGATAGAACAATGGAGACTTCTTTTCCTTGCATGTGCTGAACCCTCAGTATAACTTTCACACCACTGACCAACGCTGCATCTTGAAATTTTTCTTTCTCTTCCAAGATGTCACCTCCTGACCTTGCTGCTATCTTCTGACCATTCTGCTGTTATTTCTGAGTCTCCGCCTCCACTCACTTAAAATATTTGACTACTCAAATCCAAGCTCTAGACCATCAGCCAAACTCAGGGCCTTTGTAATCATCTACATGATGATGTCTCCAAGGTATATTTTTATGTCTTAGACAACTTTTGTGATCTTAAGGTTGAAATATTAAATGTCAGTTGCATTTTTCAAAACTTACCTCAAGACTGAAAACAATTTTCCCTGTTCTTTTGTTTTAGACCTGGTACTGTTTCAGTGTTACTGATCTTTGTGAAAAATACTACCTGATGCAGATTTCACAAGATTCAGTCATGTTTGCCATTTATCTCCCATCATTCCCTCCTGCCACTAAATTACTATGTCCTAATGACTTGTGCACTTAACTAGGTAGGGTATCCCTTGCTTAGGCTACACCTTCCAGCTGATTTCCAAACATATTAATATTCTGCTTAAAGCTCTTCATGGTTTATACATTACATGGACAAACTTCCTTAAATCAACAAATAAAGCCAAATATTTATCTGACCACTTCTTAGTTCATTTGTTTGCTTTTTTTTTTTTAACTAGGGATTGAACTCATGACCTTGTGTTTGCCACGGAGGCACTTACAAGGCTGCTGAGCTAAATCCCCAGCCCCGCTTCCTAGTTCTTAAACCACTCCCTCTTCTTTGTCTTTCTTCCTTTACACATTCTTTAACAGAACAGTTGGGTAATTATATCCAACACGGTTATCTGGAACATAAAAGTAAGAAAATTAGGCAAGTGGAATTTGGTACAAAAGTCTTTTTCAAAGTATTGTGATGGTCTATTGCTGAGAGAGGGCAGGAATGAAGGTAGAAAACTCAGAAAGTACTGAGATAAAGAAATAATTGCCTTCAAAGATACCAAGCTGCTTACAAGATCAATTAACATAGTGACTAATATATAATTTGTACAATTTTTTAGGAATCATACAAACTCAGATTGTGGTATCTGTTTAGCCATTAAAACCTATATAACATCTGCTGAATCATAACACCAATAAGCCAGAACTCTCACAATAAAAGCCCACCTTATCTGTCACAAGGATTCAGTTGGATGCCTCTACATCCAGTATTTGGCACAAATTTTGGACACAGTCAAATGCTAAGTGGGTAGTAGGTAAATTACCATTAGGAAAAAAGTAAAGCTTTTAACAGTATAGCTCTGCATCAGGCAGGAGTAACACAAGCTCAATAGTGCTAAAGATAATGAGTATCCTGGGGGTGGAAATTGGACCATTTTTTCCCCAAGACAATTATGGACTCCTATTACATGGTATTGTTACCTCTGGCTCCAAGGTAACCAGGTAACCATGTTTCCAGGTAACCAACCACTGGTTAAAGATAACCTAAGAATATATTCATTAAAATGTGCTTTGCATCAGCCAATTTGTTTCCTTCCCTTAGAATAAATGTCAGAAATTTGGATTTTCTCGTTTCTTTGAAGTCAACACTTTGTGACCACCATTGAGAAAAGAAAGATATTTCTACGTGGCTAAGAGGACTACATCCAGTATAGACAAATCTACTCATTGTGCTTATGCCTGGAGGACACCGCTTATGTTTATCTTTTCCTTTATTATCCCTAAAAAATACACATACAAGGAACCGAACTCTGAATTAAAAACAAACAGTGACAAGGATAGAATAAAATACTAATTTAATTATTTAACCACTCAATTTTCTTTATAAAGAAGATACATGATTTAATGAAAAGTGCAAGTTGAAATTAAAAATCACAGATTTTGGCTTTGTCGCCAATGTCAATGATAAAATATAATCTTGAGAAGCCATTTATTTTACCTGGACCCCAAATTTTTCCCCTGTAACAAGACGGCTGAAGTTCATTATTAAAATGCTAGGGGCATACACATATGCACATAGACTAAACATGTACGTAATGTATGCATGTTTATATTGCATTTGTGTGCCTGCTTATACACCTATATGTGAATCTTAGTTTCTTATGAAGACGCAGACTATAACCAAGAGGACTGGAACAGGCTATGGGGTTAGTCCTGTTTATAGGACATGCATTAGGAGGCCTGTACCTTCATCCACCTTAGGCAACAGAGAAGTGGAAACCTGTTGGAAATCCAAATTCTCAGGCCTTCCTTACTCTATCTCGAAGTGAAGCAGGAACTGTGGGGAGGGGCCAGCCCTCTGTGCTGTCACCTGCCTCCCAAGGGATTCTGATAAACATTAAAATGAGAGGACCTGCAGCATTTGGACATTCCCCGGGGAGAACAGGCTAGGGTTTTAAGTAGAAGTGGAGAAAGCAATTAAAAGAGAAAATTCAGGATAATCTATAGAGAACTTAGGTCAGAGATGGTAGGAATAGAGGCTGGTGAGACACAGCAGGAGACAGGGCAATCCTATGGCACTACGAGGACCCGTATGAGGGTGAAAATACAGAGCAAAGGCCCAAGCAGTTATGCGGTAAGTCCCATGTTAAATGACTTATGCTCATGCAGTCATTTCTGCCACTATGCTAAGAACTGTTGGCTTACAAAATTTCTTCCCTGTGGAGCTTCCTAACAGAGGACAAACATCAGTTCTCAACAACAGACACCCCAAACCCTGCAGTTATTTATAGTAGAAAACCAAGATGGGATTAGTTAATGTTCTCAGGATGGTGCTACACATCTTCTCCAGGCCCTTTTCAACAACCCAAGGATTCCCTGACTCCAGGTTTAATTCTCCCCTCCTTGGCAGCCAAGAGTATGTCATGTTTAGGGAAAGTAAGAAAATTTCTAGAGTTTTATTGGGCTAAAGACGAGCTTTCCCAGAGAAAGCCCTGGGGGTAAGAATCAGCCTATAAAAACGACAAGGCAAGAACTCAGCATGGATGCTCTTCAAGAGGTTGATAGATGCCTCGTTGTCATCGCGGACATTTCCCTGAGAGGGGAATCCTCGACTTTGCAACTTCCTGGCCAGCGTGAGGGCCACTAGCCGGCTATAACCTTTCCTGCGATGATCGGGTAGGGTGTAACCATGGCACATGGTGGCAAACTGGTCTGTGATCCCCCAGGACACTGGGTTTCCCTTTTCATCACGGACACACACACTGGGGAAGCAAGAGATGAGTTTGGCGATGTACCGGAGACACTGTTTGTTGCCACCCCTTGACCAAGTTCGATTGAGAAGATCAGCATCATTGACACTCAGGTGGGTTAGGCGTGGGGGAGACACTGTTCTAGAAGAAAATGATATGAGAAAGAGTATGAGCTCAGAATCACATGATTATAAATAACTACCTTTTCCATATGATTTAAGCTGAGAAAAATATCCCCTAAATTGTGCCTTGCCTTTTCAGTGAGTTAGAATACATAATTCCTCACTCATGAGCAATCTCAGGGTTACATTTCTGGTAAGACTAAACATCTAATATTCCAAATTTAAGTCCTTTTTAAAATTTTTTTTAACCAGGGATCAAACTCACAACCCTCATGCTTGCCAGGCGGCTGCTTGTGCCACTGAGCTATATCCCACGCCCCAATTTCCTTTTACCTTTATGCCCATTTATTTTCATCCTCGGTAGACAGATTGAAGACAGTATTTGTTGATAAATCAACTAAAATCTGGCTTGACGCTGCCTCATGCCTTCGGTACCTAGGATACATACCGTAACTGCATTTAGCTTTTGGTTTGTTTACATACTAACTTAGGAGTAGAATGGACAGCTGAATTTCAGCCAGTTAAAATCAGCCTACTGGTGGGAATTAACCTCAAATAAGGCAGACAGGTAGCTGCAGTCAGTCAAGTGATCCCTGCTTTATTCTTGTATCTGGCCTATACAAGCTTCCAGTTACATTGCTGGACTGAGCTCTCCGAGCTTCTTCTGGTTTAAGCACTGCCAGATTTATGAATCATTCTTTGCTCAAATAAGTTCTCTTAAAGATAACTTGTCTAACATTTTTCATTTAATTCTTTTGCAGGAAAAAGTCCTCAGAATTGTTCTTAAGTCCTGAGACTGCTAAAACCTGTGAGGTTTTGGGCAGGTTCAGACTTATAGAATCTAATTCTAATCTTTTGCTTAGTAAGAAACATTTACTAATCTTTTGCTTAGTAATAAATATTTTTGCATTAAGGATACTTCTGCTTTTACATATCTATGACCAGAAAATAAATACAAGTTGCTTAATATGCCAGGCACAGCTACATTTTCTGCGTATCTTAGCTTTCCCCCAGTTCTCTGCAGGCTGCTTGTCTCCAGGTTAAATATTCTTGGCTTTGTCCACTGGCTTATTTTTATATACCAGTTGCTTTTTACTATATTAATTCCAATGCCAAGTTTCTAGTATTTTCTGTATAAAAGCTCTGATATTAAAATAAAGTGATATGAAATTTTTGAAGGATTGAGATGAATTAACTTATTTGAAAACCTGTAAGGCTGATTGTGTCATGGAATTGCTTTTCATTACTGAATTTATCAGTATTATAACTGCATCTCAGATAAATATCAAAAGATTGATAATGTGGTTCTTGCCATGAATTTTGGAGCATCCAACCTTGTGTCATCTTTTTGTCAGTGGTTGTGTAGTATTAACTCACATCTAGGGATGTTGTCAGGTAAATCATTGGATCAGACATCTGACCACTAAACAGGGGTTAACAACTGGCTTTATAGGATTTTTGGTTTTTAAAATGAAGCAAGGAGAAGGAAACCTTAAGCAAAGATATTGTTAAAAATAAAAACATCAAAGCAAGTCCTTCAGAGAGAGTTTTATTAGACACTTTGAATAGGTCTCTGAGAGGCAGAGCATTCCAAACAGTGTATGTAAATTCGGATAATAACTTATGTTAAAGGTAAAAGATAAAATGTCACTACCAGAAGAAGCTATAGAAGATAAACTCCACGATGCTGAAAGGGGCAAGAATTTTTTTTGGAGAAGTTTCCAAAAGTCTAGGGAACAAAAGCAAAAATACATAAAAGGAATTATAACAACTAAAAAGCTTCTGTACAGCCACAGAAACAAAAGAATGGAGAAAATAGTGAAAATATTTGCAAACTATATTTCTGATAGATTATCCAGATTATAAATTAATAAAAAATATCAGTAGCATAAAACCTAAATAACCCCAATTAAAAATGGCAAAGGAGACATTTCTTACAAGACAGAAATGAGCCCAGTGTGGAGAGCAGGATCTCATATTTTAGTGCTTAGCTCAGTTCTCAAAAAGAAAAAACAAGTTCAGTTGTTTTCTCATGACTTAAAGTGGCTATTCATTAGATTTCATTTTCTGCTCAGCAATTTCTTCACAAAAATGAATAAAACTAACATTCACTGAGATGAACGTTTTTCAAGATTAATGGTTTATTTTCTATTGAGATAATGGGTGAAGATGGTTATAGTTTATACCTAGACATCCCCACAAGCTTCATGTGCTCACGGTGGGGGTGGGCTTTTGTGAACAAAGGGATCATGGGGGTGTGACAGGATTAGTGGATTAGTCCACAGATGAGTTTACAGCAGAACATGATGTTGGAGGGTGAAGCCTGGTTGGAAGAGGTGGGTTGCTGGGGGCGTGGCTTGGAAGAGTATCACTTTCTCCACTCCCTTGATTACTGGCTGTTTCCCACCAACAAGCCAGCGCTGTTTCTCTCCTGCTGTGCTGCTCCACCTTGAAGCCAAAAAACTATGAACTGAAACGTTTACAAACTGTGAGCCAAAATAAAACTTTTCCACCTTCAAGTTGTGGGTATCAGGTGTTACGTCTTGAGACATGAGACATAATACCTGAGAAAGCTACTAAGACAAAGATATATTTTCATTCTTGAGAAGAAATTATTGCTCCAACAGGTTACACTGAGGAAAACGCATTGAGTAAATGATAGAGCAGAAACTCTAAAGAAAGAGAAAGGGGTAAATGCAGCCATGACTAACAACATGTTCTCAAGATTGCTTTTTGGAATCAGGCTTCATCTTATTTTCTGGCTCTAACACTTTCTTTTCTGTGTTACTTCAGCTCTATTCAAAATGCAATTAATAGTCCTACTTTACAAGGATCTGGAAAGAATTAAGGTATAATATATTTAAAATGCTTAGTGTCCTTAACACAAGTCAATAATATGTGCCTAACTTAAATGACAACAACAGAAAATAAGAACTTTGGACTCAGACCATAAAGATTACTTAGAATTATTTTAGGGAACAATATACCAGTGAATGATTTTTCATGTATATCATGAAAACACAGGTGCTGCTCTGAGCTGATTTATAACTATGGAAAAAGACACTGACTTATTTTTCAGGGAAATTATGAACAGGGAAACCTAGGGAGGGGAAATACAGAGACACAATTTAGAGGTAATAGCCCAAATTCAAACTGGCAAAATATTCCTTAATGACATGCACTCCAGTTACTGCTATCTGGGCTTCTGTAGCATTAAATCCTGCCCCAATGCAGAGCACGGTTTACATACAGGAAACTGGTATCTGGCAGAGATGAAATAGGAGAAAAGTGAACAGCCTTGAAGGAAGACAGCTTTATATCCAACTGCTTTGCATTGGCAACAACTTTGGAAACATCATATATTTCACTCTGAAGCCCTGTGTAAAGAAAGATAAAAAGATGAGCACTTTATTTGAAAAATGAAATAAGTCACACTGTTTCCATACTGAGTATCATCAGTATCACCAGCTTACTATCTTTGTTTTCCTTACCATTATATATTTATCTGTAAATTATTAGAGTTATTCTTTATGTGATTTTCAAATTTTTGTGGAATTTTTCCAGTCAATCTCAATTATGTTGTGCATTGTGATTATCTATCATGATTTTAAAAAAATGTTTTTTTGAGACAGTCTCACTATGTAGTTCAGGCTGGTCTTGAACTTACCATGTAGCACAAGCTGGCCTCAAACTCACAATGATCCTCCTGCCTCAGCTTCCCAAGTGCTGAGATTACAGGCATGCATCACCACATCCAGCTTCACCTGTCATGATTTTTCATGGAAATTTCTGTTGGAAATATTCTATGGGAAACTAAAATTTTTGTATGAATTTTTATTTTTTTTTCACTCTTCAGATTGGCCTTAAACTCCTTGAAGAGACAAGATTTTATAGCTCATAAAGTCTATGCTATAGTCTATGTGAGTTTGGATGTTTGGTGTGACAAACCAACTTTAAATTTTCTCTTTAGTCTGTTGCCAAAATGCTCATTACAGTATTCAAGATATAAATTTGATGTTAGTGTTACGGCTTAGTCACCCAAAGACCCATGCACTCATAGGTCGGGCTTTTTGGAGCTGGCTGAATCTGGAGTGTATGATACTGGGTTTAAGGATGTGTGGCATTAAATTAGCCACAGATTGGAATTAGCATGGTTCTGGGTGTGGATGAATGGATTTACTGGGGACAGAAAATCACCCTAAGTACGGGTGGCACCACCTAAAATGTTTACAGCCTGTTTGAGACAAAAGGGAAACGAAAGGCAGGCTTATTTCTGCCTTGGCATGGACTGTTTCTCCTCTGTGTTTCCCCTCTGCCATGCTGCCATGGCGTGGAGCCAGCTGACTGTGGCCTGCAATCTCTAAAACTGTGAGCCAAAATAAATCTTTTTTCCTTTAACTTGTGGGTGTCAGGTGCTTTGTCTCAGCAATGAGAAAAGCAACTAAGACAGTGAGTTTACACTGAACTTATCTCACCTAGCTCCCACTCATCATAGCTATGACACATCGTGTATAAATCTTATTCAGTATTTCTTCTATGTAAAGCATTGTTCTAGGCACTGCTTCACGGTGGTAGACAAAAATGGTATGGCCCTGCCTGGTCTGCTGGTGAACACCTGTAATTTCAGCTTCTTGGAGGTATAGGTAGGAGGATGTCAAGTTTGAGGCCAGTCTGAGAAACTTAGTGAGGCACTATCTAAAAAAAAAAAAAAATTTAAAGGCCTGAGATAATGTTTAGAGGTCGAGTTTTCTTAGGAGAAGTAAGAGCATGACTCCTATTTCCAAATCCCCACCTTCATTCTTTCCAGTCTGACTCTATTGATTAAATTTCCTGGAAAGTGTCTTTCTTCCATCTAATGACTTGTTTTCTTTCCTCGGTGAGGCATTTCTTGACACAGAATTCAGACTTTCTCTTGAAAAATACATGGGAAGGCATAGGGAACACACTATAATGTTTGAACCTCATCTCTCATCTTAGGGACTTAAGCCTCAGAAAAGTCAAGAAAGTCAATGTTGCTAAAGTTACAGATGCTATGACTAGCATTCCATTTTAAAAAATTGATTTACAACGAAGTAATTCAAAAGCTTTCCTGGGAGGCAAAAATAGGCAGTACTAATGTTTGTACAGCATTCAAATAAAAAATGGTAAAAACATAAAATGCACTATATATGTTTGTGTACATGTACGTATCTCATACATATATGAGATTCACATATATATATCAAATATTCATAATAAAAAGAGGAAAAGTGACCGCATGGTATATATCTTACATTTAACCTCACCTTGTATTTGAAAAACTTGGTCCCAATTAATAACACCAGGTTCTTCCAGTAGCTGGTGGTAAGCCCTGATGTCCTTGTAGAACACGGCATAGGCATTAGTGTAGTGGTCGAGGTTATCTGCCTCAGCCTAGAATAGAAGACACACTCACTGAAACATAACCACCCTACAGATAACCCAAATCCCAGGGAGATTAAGTACCCTTAGCTGAGCACGTTCAGCTATTTTTCCATTACCAAAATCAGTCACTTAAAAACAATGACATGAGAATGATGCTAATATGCTGTAGAGAGAAGAGTAAAAATTTCTTCACTTTTGTTTGATTTTTTTTTCTTTTCAGATTAGGAAAGTTTTATGACATTTATTTAACACTCTTCTAGGATTTTATTTATTTAGAAAAATATAAAAAGGCTCTGTGTGATGTCACATACTGTAATCCCAGCTGAGGGAAGCTCTTGGGAGGCTGAGTCAAAAGGATTCCTTAAACCCAAGAGTCTGAGGTCATTTTGGGCAATAAAGGGAGACCAAGGGGGTGTAGTCTGTAGCTCAGTGGCAGAATGCTTGCCTAGCATGTATAAGGCCCTTGATTACATTTCTAGCTCCAAACATACACACAAATATCTAAATAGATGTGTGGGGGATGGAGGGATGGATACATGGATGGATGGATGGAGGGACAGTAAAACTAAATGAATCTTCCTAATGGAGTGTATTAGGAGGGCAACATATCTTTGGTGATGAGCTTCTTTTTGGTCTCAGGCAGAATGTAACTAAGTGTCTTCTTCACCTTTATTTACCTTCATGAAGTCATCAATCATAAAGAAGCATCCCACCCAGTGGAAAAGCTAGTCTGTTCACATTAGCCAAGTGTGCTGCATACTTGTAGAGATTAGGGAGCACTGAAGAAACACTTTTGGACTAGAGGCCTGTCCTACGCCTGACACTGAAGCCAGTCACAGCAGAAACTAATGGTGAAATATGTAGCTTATATGATTACTATGGTTATAGTGTTCACTTTACCTAATCTATTCTTTCTAGTTGATGCCAGTTTTTATTCTTATTTATTTGGCTTCCAAAACTGTACCTCTCTTTGTCGTCGGGTTATGACAGCTTTGAAGTCTGGCCATGAATCCAATACGATTTCCTTTTGAAAGGGATTCCCACGATTTATGTTCATCACTGCTCCATAAACCTGTACAGGGAACCCAAAGAGATGAGCCAATCACACTGCTAGACATTGCAGTTGTATAGCACTTTCTTCTTCTTCTTCTTCTTCTTCTTCTTCTTCTTCTTCTTCTATATAGCCACATGCAGGAGTGAGTGGGTTCTAAATCTGTTCCTATACATATGTACAATGCACATACATTTTTACTAATTTACTGTTATTTTATCAGTTCTTCTGAAAACTGGTAAAAGCCTATTTAAGTACGATAAAAACTTTCTCTAAATCTAGTTTTTTTTTTTAACAGCCTAATAGTGATGGATACTAAATTGACAGGATTTTTAGGTGAATACTTAACATATAGGTTACCAATAAATATTTGAATTAGAAATTGATGTATGGATTTAGAGCTCACCATCTGAAGAGAATCTGTGAAATACAATTACTCCTGAATAACAATTATGCGTCTCTTGAGGGCAAAACAACCTAAGTGTCCATCAACAGTGGAAGGACTAAATAAATTGTGGCATATTCATACTATAGGGTACGAAACAGCAATGAAATGAATAGACCACAACTATACATAGGATCACTATAAATATCACAAAAGAAGCTAAGTAAAAGAAGCTAGATACAAAAAAGACACTGTATGGTTCAACTTATACTACATTAAAAAACAGCCAGAACTAAGTGACGGCTTTGGAAGTGGGGACAGGAAGTGATTGGAATGGAACGCTGGGGCTGGAAAGAGGCTGCACCCTAAATAATGTTCCTTTTCTTCCACAGCGGCTACTAAATGGGGTTTTGCTGTGCGAAAATTCAAAAGCTATAAAATTACATTGCATGCACTTTATAGGATGTGCTAGATTTCAATAAAAATTGAATTATAAGGGCAGAGAATCTGTATTTTGCCTCTGTAGTCACTATCTTAACCCAAATCACTTACCTTTCTTCGGTCTAACATTTTTCTTCAGTTTTACCCACTCTGGGACTCATTCAAATATCCTCATAGAATGTGTCTTTCCAAATCAAGTCTGGTTTATGTTAATATGTAACATGGATCATCCTTAGTGTAAATCTAAAATTAAAAGCAACTTGGAAGAGTCATGCTCATTGTGCTAATCACTAAATTCTGTGGCTTCTCATCCTCCACAGAGTGACATTTATTAACATGTTTTAATATGAGGAGCCTGTGCATAGAAACATCCCTATTCAAGGACACAGCCTAAATATGACTATGATATTCCAAAGATTGAAAGAAAAAAACTTTTGATATTCACATTGTAAAATAGAAATAACTTGTTTTTTAAGACTTGGAACAACTAAAAGATTTGGCCTTGATAAACAGCAAAGTTTCAACAGCTGTTTCTTTAAAGTGAGTGTTCAGTCTGCCAGAGCAGGAGGAGCTACGGAGGTGCAGTTGCGGAACAAATTAGCAGTTAAGCCTCCTAAAGGAAATTTGGAAGGATAATCAGTTTAGCACTAAACTGAGCATATAAATTACAGACATAAGCTCCAAAGAATAGAGGTAGGATGAACAAACAAAACTATATTTTCTTTAACTTTTAAAATCCCTAACATTTTTTATGAATCTGTGAAGGTCACTGAAATTTTTAAGTTACCCCTTAAAGAAGAGTTAGACATATTTTTAAAGCAAAGAAGCCTACCATTTTATCCCACTAATTTACCTCAGTATCAGCATTCAAAATAAGAAAATTTGGACCAGATTGTCTACATGGTACTTTTATAGCCACATGACCCTAAATTATTAGGCCAATTATTCTTCCTATAGTTTACACACAGTTAATAAGATGGTCAGGTTTAATCAACAATGTGCTAGACAACTCTGTTTGAATTATTTTTTTCTCAAATGTTAATATACAGAAGGATTATCTGGGGTGTTAAATATGATGAACGCTGGTGTGCAACCTCAAGGCTTGATTCATTCTCTCCTGAGTGATCTGTACTCTATTTATGTTTGAAAACCAACTGTAGACGTTTCTGTTCAAGAAACATCCCTCAATGGCAACTGCATTGTTTTTCTCAGTGGTGTCTCCTTAAACATATTGTATTGTAGTCTTTGATGAATGACATCTTACACAACAGCACTGACCTATCCACAGGCCCTGCTAGATTTTAGATCAATGCCTTGCTGACCAACAAAACCACTGAAAAAATTTATAGCAATTTTTGCATAAACTTGAGTCCTGATGTTCACACTAGGTGATATTCCTAACTTTAATGCCACCCAATCCCCATCCTTGTACTATTTAAAACATCTTACAACTTAAATTTACTAATAATAATGTAGCTCAGCATTATCTAACATTCCTTAGGAGTCATCAAAAATAATTCCAGGTTTTAGCCACAATCCATTAAATCAAGTCTCTAGCAGGTGAGAACTGGTAAAATATGTTTAATAAATGTTCCCAGGGGACTATCAGAAAAAATGGGAAACAGTCACAAGCCTTACATTATTTTACAGATCAACACAATTAAGAAATTAAATTCTCACGGTTATAGTACCTTAAGCGATTCAGGAAAGTGACTCTTCAGTATTTTCTCCAGAGCCAGTAATTTGGTAGAACAGTTCAGTACCAGCATCTTCTCCAGAGGTATGTGGTTCTACCTTAAGTAGAAACTTGAAGAGGCTGAAGCAGGGCGATTGCAAGTCTGAGCCTACCCAAGACACTGTCTCATAAGAAAAAAAAGTTTTAAAGTCTGGAATGTAGCTCAGTGAAAGGCACCTGCATTCAATCCCTGTTACCATGAAAGAGAAGAAGAAAGAAATTCAAAGGTATACACATAATTTTTGCTGTTAACAGTCTTATTGAGGAGGCTATAGACCTGTTATCACTGGATGTGATTTTGACTACCACGGTTCCCTCTAAAAAGGGAAGGAGGAAGACAGGGAGGCCCTGGGATAGGTAAACTGGAGAACACACACAAGTGGAGAGCGTTGATCTAATTCTGCACCAATGAGACTATGCTGGTATAAACCTGTTACAGACATTAAAGGTTATGCAAAACCACCCTGCAGGGCTCTGGTCACTGTCATGGTACATTTATTTGCGCTTTCTCTGACTTAAGCCTGCACCAGCTGCATGAAGGTAAGGGCCCTGTTGGCCCTTTGTGCTCCACTGTATCCACAGCATGCACCACAGGGCCTGGTGAGGGTAAGGACTTTAGAAACTGTTGTGGAATGGATAGCGAGAAGCTCAAAGTAAGAATCTTGGGGCAAGGAAATTTCTTTTCCAGAACATGGGACAAAGACTGGAGGAAAATCTGCGTGGTTCAAGCAGTTTTAAGAAAAATGGAAAGAAATGGCTACATGAAAGAAAAAGAACCACACACGCGCAAAGACTGAGGATCATTTAACCAGATAAGATTGGGCCCAAATACAAGATATGTACCCTTCTGTTCTCATGCAATTACATCTTCTTGATTTGGGAGCTCTACCTCCCTGCTTTGTTCTGAAAAATCTTTTTTCCTAATTTTAGTCAGGGTTTGAGTGAATTAAAGAGAAAAATATTTTTCTTATAGTCAGTGTAATAGTAGCTTATTCATCTCCACTTTAGGCACTAGGATGGCAAAGATAATTCATTTGGAAATGAATAGAGTGTTTCTGGGATTGTGGGAGAGGCAGAATTGTTCTTTTATGACACATTTCCTAGATAAATTTACGTGTTTCACTGTGTGGCATACCTGTGTGACTATAAGGAGCCGAGGTTTTGATTTTTTTTATTTTTGTGACCTAACTAAAATTCACTGTAGAACTCTATCATGAAGTTTATGTGAGCACGAACTTCTAGGAAGCATATGAATAGCCCTGTGGGCTGTAGTTCACTGGCTGGTGGATTTGAGATGTCCAAGTTCTCTACAGGAATCAGAAGAGACATCAACACCCAGGGCAGCACCCACTGTCTCTTCACCCTTTCATCTGCTCAAATTTTACTTATTTGTGTTATTTCTCAAAAGTCTAACTTTTTACTAGATATTTATGTTAAACACATTTATTATAATTCAATATCTATTGATGGAAAATGAACTGATTTCAAAGGGCATTTGATCATCAATCTCCTAAGAAGGTTCAATGTTTGGAGATCTTATTATGCCCTCTAATATTTAGCAAAAGAGCTAATGCATAATGCAGAGTAGTAATGACAAGTATTTATTGATTATTTGCTAACTTATTATCTGGTTTGATTTTTTTGTTTGTTTTAGAATCTCAGCGGGCGTTGGGCTCACTTTGTAGCCCAGGCTGGTCTCACATCTGCAATGATCTGCACCTGCCTCAGCTTTCCAGGTGCTAGGATTACAGGAGTGCACTACCACCCCTGACTTGGTTTATTCTTTAAAAGACAGAAAACCATTTTTTTTCTTTTATCTTTTTTTTGAGACAGGGTTTCACTATGAAGTTCAGGTTGGCCTTGAACTCACTTTGTAGTCCAGGCTGGGTTCAAATTTGCAGTGATCTTCCTGCCTCAGTCTCTTAAGTGCCAGGATTATAGGCATGTGCCACTAGGCCCTTTTAAAAATATATAAAATATAAAGAAAAATTCAGTTTAAATTAAAAAAAATTTGCAGTGATCTTCCTGCCTCAGTCTCCTAAGTGCCAGGATTATAGGCATGTGCCACCAGGCCCTTTTAAAAATATATAAAATATAAAGAAAAATTCAGTTTAAATTAAAAAAAAATTGGACAAAGGGAAAAAGAAGGAAAAGAATACAGAGTTAAGAATGAAGTTATCATCCAAAGTATATGGAACACTTTGTATAGAACTGATCTTCCTTGCTCATAGATTCCAGATTTGAAAACTTCACCATTAAAATTGACTTGTAACCCACAAATAAGTACAATACTATACTTTGGCAGTCATTTGCAGAAGGGACAGAACAATAAAATACTTTGTCTGCACACACATTTCAGCTAAGGCTGAACAGGGCATGGCATATTCTACTTTGTTTCAGCTCTCATGCTGTAAACAAACGTCCTTTTTACGGTCTATTTGGCACCCTTAAAAAATTATTATTATTATTATTATTATTAATCTTGCTGTTCAAAATGGCATAGTGTCAAGGGCTGTGATAATGAAATGAGCAGAAAATACATGTGTGTGAGGTAAATTTGAGTCAGGCATTAATTATAATGTTCACTGGTATTTCAAGGATAGCAAATCAACAATATATATCAAATAATATCCCTTTCAACAAAAAAACTCATAAAACAAAGTTACATATTATCTTTGATGAAACTAGATATTTTAGGAACTTAGCTTCCTATTTCCACCAAGAACAATGTTCTAGCATTGGTTAAGCTAGTGTTGAATGAGGCTTTACTGAACATACTTCTGTAATACTATTAACTATAGAAATAATGAGAATTGATTGTACTTGCAGGAGGTAAGGACCCATACTTGTAAATATTCTAGTAGCTAACAGAGAGAAACAAATCTGATTAATTGCATTGTTTAATGTACCATAATGCTTACCTTTATACTATTTTTTTCTAGCATTTGCTTGTTTTCCATTAATGCTCTCTCTAAAGCTCTGTTATTTTCAAATCTTCCTTGATCAAGTTTCTAACTATTTCTCTAAACTCAGTCCTTACAAATCACAAAGTATTCAGGGTGACAAATTAAAGTCAGAGACTGAGAAGACTTTGTAACTTACATGTAGGTTACATATAACATTTAAAAATAACCACTTAGTAAGCAGCAGAATTGCATAGTTATCTTACACTAAATACAAAGATTTGTTTTATTGTTACACAAAATGAAATGTAGAAATTCTCACAAGAAAACTTTTTTGAATTGTTCAAAAAGTCATAATCACAACTGCTAACCCTGAAAGATAAAAGATCAGTCAGAATGTCTTATCCTCGATTACAAGCTCCCCATACATAGTAGAATAGAATAGAACAGAATAGAGAAGCAAAGGTTTGTAACTCCTTTAACCGAATTATTAACAATAGACGCACAAACTAAAAGTGTCCTCAAGGAATATAATTATACTCATACAAGTTTTAGGAACTTAAATTTCTTTGGAACTTTTGATGATTCATCAGTAAACTTAAAATATTTTATTGATTAACATTAAACATGCAATGACAGCATGTCTCTCTTGCAAAACTTTTTTTTTTTTTTTTTGTCTTTTTCTTTTTTTTATCGGTACCGGGGATCGAACTCGCGACTGCCTGCTTGGAAGGCAGGCACTTATGCCGCTGAGCTAAATCCCCAGCCCCTCTTGCAAAACTTTTAATTCTTATAAACAATATAAGATCTGTTTTCATAGGATACCATTTAAAATAAAATGGTGGCCTTTTTTAATGGGGAAAGAAATTTTCTTCTTAAGCACATGCAATCTAATGCTAGTAATTATTTTTTGCATCTTAGGCTTCTTGTTTTGAGATTAATCTCTTCTTAGTTGCCCATACTACAATGCAAATACATTCTTCATACCAAAAATTTAAAAAGAAAACCAAAAATATACCAATATAACAAAAATATATCCTTTTTAAACACTAATTATGATTCTATATCAGATGAACTTCATTTTTTCTATTTTCTATGAAAGAAATATATTAGTAGAATTACAAACTATTTGGAATTTATTACGGAAATGAAAAATACTTACCTGCTGTTGAGAGTTCAGCCTGTGACTGAGATGTTGTAGCTGCTCATTACTGTACTAGCTCCCTTTGTGTAAATAGTGAACTTATACTTCTAGGTACCTCCCCAATTAGTCTGCTGTGAAAAGAGGAGGGAGAAAAAAGCACACCCTGAAAAGGGGAGGGGCTTATGGTTTCTGTAAGGTGAAAATCATCTGAAATACAACACAGGTTTTTTTCATTTCGCCTTTTCCTTTCTATGCACTTAGTCTTATGGTGTAAAAGCCAATGGATAGCAATTTTGATTTGGAGATGAAGATTTTTTAGACGTAAAACCTATATATTCATCAGGGAATTGTGCAAAGGAATACAAAAGGAACGGGACGCTGGCAAATAGGATACAATAAAAAAATGCTATAGAGCTACTGATCCCTTAGGTATTTTTACTTATTTTGAAGAAAATTGATTCTGCTACCCTAAATTTCCAGGGCTGAAAAGGCTCTAAAGAGAATGTTGGTAGAACTGAAAGTAATTTTGAGAGTATTAATTTCTGTACCCAATTCTTTTGAAAAATTATTGTTTTTTTCCCCTCAAATGGCAGCAGTTCACCATTATTTATGGGCTATCGCAGCACACAACACACCACTGAGTCTTGGAATGCTAAGCCCTACAAATGGCTAAACTGCATATGGAGAGTGTTTTATTTTGCATGTGACCTCATGGGAGGATACTCTTTACTACCTTTTATGTTTTATAAAATGGTAAGTGAGGACCTTTTTTTACTCGGAAACATGGAGTTAAGTAATACAATGGGCAGTTGAAGGCTGAAAGTGACTGGAAAAATTATTTTAGATGTCAGCTACTATGTGTCAAAATAAGTGTTTTTCATTCTGGCATATCGATACAGTTTTTAAAGAGATGTTGCAAAGGGCAGCATATACCTGTTTGTTGCCCTATGGATTCTATATAAATACAGCCTTTAAAATATAAATTGAGAAAAGTACTTTAAAAAGTGAACAGAAGCACTTTTAGAGATTAAGTACAGTATCTTGGAGAAAACTTGAAAAAAAATCAGGGGCTTAGGTTATTTAAGAAGTCAAAGATGAAGATCTCTTCAAATTTAGATTACAGCTTGTTTCCAAGTGCATACAAAACAAAAAACAAAAAACCTTCTACCCTTTTTCAAAATTCTTTGTTTTCTGTAAAGCATCTGAACTAACTGAAAGGGTTGCTTTTTCCCTGAGGGAAAATAACCAAAAAGGCAAAAACCTACTTTTCCAGGAAAACTGGTTGAAATTAGTTGAAATTGGTTAAAAGTAGTTAAACTTGAGACTTATCTCCCAGGCAAAAATGAATTTCAACTCTGAAATTAAAAGGAAAGCAAAATGGAAGGGTAGTAACATGGTTGTGAATGTCATATAAATTTAAAGGTATTTTCTTTTGTAAATTCAACAAATCCGCAACACATGCTACCCTTGTACCCAGAAAAATACATGCATTTATACGTAGTTTTAACAAGATTTGCTCATTAGGAAACCTCTTGTATCTGTAGCTTAGTAGAAAACTAAGAAGATAAAGTGCCAAACCTTTCTTTACTTCCTTGTTTTTTTTGGCACTGGAAATCAAACTTAGGACCTTGAGCTTGTCAGGCTGGTGCTGTGCTGCTGAGATATATTCCCAGCTCTTCACTCTATAGTTCTGTCACCTCCTATTTGTGTTATCTTAAGACAGGCAAGAAGCTGTGCCTTAGTTTCTTCAGCTGCTGGATATGGATAACAATTATAAGATTTAGTTCCCAAGAGTCGTTAAGACTAAACATTGGTATAAATACATAAATGCATGTATCAGGCTCACAACAGTGCCTGACAGAGCAAACACACAATCATTGCTGGTCATTTTAATGTTATTATTGTCATATAGCTCTCTTGAGCTGTTTGAAAACTTGCATTAATTTTAAGAACTTCCTAAGGAGTGACAATGTGGTGCAACAGGCTAAGATACACAAAAATGAGTAACTTCATTAAAATTGTATTCTATAATGCTTTTGTTGAATTTGGAAAATATCTTTCTTCATCTCTTTCTTTATCCACTATGAGAAATCTGTGGTATAGCACACCCACAGCCCTGTAACAAGCAGTGGCTACTTTAATGAGATCAAATACCTAACTAAGCAAACAGTGGTTCTGTGGCAGTTTAGAACTGAAGAAATATATTGAATAGCAGTAACTCTTAAGATAAAATAGGACACAAAAAATGGCTGTTTAGAGATGCTAAATGCAATGGAGAAATACAAATTTCTCCCTGCTTCTGCTTTTTTTGTTTTTCTACAAGTTGAATTTTCTGAACAATGAATGAAACATGAGAGGATTTAGATATGCTTAGTGAACCAGGAACAATTCAAATACTAATTTTGACAGGTGCAACTGCATGTTTTTGGTAAACACAGAATGCCAAGAAAATTATCCAACCAAATAAAAGAAAGTAAATCCCTTAAGTTTAGGTTCCAGTGCAGGTGTCTCATATTAAACAAAGCCTATTTGTTAAAGACAGGCCCAACTCAGAGGACAAAGGAAGGGCTCAGATTAAAAAAAAAAAAAAAAAAAAATTTGTAAATCACTGGCATTACCTTGAGGTCTACAACTTACCTGTAGTCTTTCAAAAAGTTGTACCAAATTATATTCGTTCACCAGATTTACTGGTAGATCATTTTCTAGTATGTTCAACAATTTTCCTTTTAGCTTTTAAAAAATCGTTGCCAATCCGATAGGTAAATACATTTTACTATTTTAATTTGCATTTAAGTGAGTATAAGGTTGAACACCTTTCAAATATCTAATGTCTATTTACCTATTAATTTTCTTACTAGGTAATTAAACTACTAGTGATATTTTAGAACATTTTTTTGATATCAGGGATTGAACTCATGACTTCATGCTTGCCAGGGAGACACTTGTGCTGCTGAGCTATGTCCCGGTCCTATTTTAGAACTCTTTTATTAGCCCCACAATCTTTATTTTTTTATAGTTTTATTTTTGCTTAAATGAATATAGCAGTTTTGCTACACTGAAATGTGTCATTTGTTTATATAATTTCCTTTAGTATCTGCTATTTACATAGACCCTTTTTTGGGCATAAAGTAGGAATATTAAAGATTCCCTTGCTGATAGTGAATTAACCATTTCCTCAATACTGTTCATTGTTAAGATATATTTTTCTGCATTTCATTTAGAATACTATCTTTATGCTAAATTTTTATACATTTTACCCTCTACACCAAAACATGTTTTGAGAATTTCAATTTCTAGCATGGGCATTTGGTCACTAGTAAAGGGTTGCATCACAATTGGCTTGACCAGTATGGGAGACTGGTGGGTAAGGACACTACAGATTAAATCTATCATAATTGGGCCAGCTGCATTTTATCTGGATGTCTAATTAATTCCTTATAAAGGACATATACCAAAAATAAAGCCTTTAAAGAAAATCTTGTGCACCTCTGGGATTGTTACTGTCAGAAATGCCACAGATCTTTCAAAGTTAATGTGGATACTTTTTAAAGTTGCACAAGGGAAGTATGACTAGTTCATGCATGATGGACAACTATTAGCAAAAATGCTGCATCTCTAATTCACTCTGAATAATCTGTTGAGACATTCTGAGAACGATACATACGTAAGGTAACTCCTCCCCTTCACAAAAGCAGAGTCATGATTAATGTTAAAAATAGAGCAAGGTCTAAAGTTTGATCCCTAGTACCAAAAACTAAAATAAAATAAAATCAATCACTCAGGGCTCTGTATCAGTTAGTGCTTACAAGAGAAATAAATTTAATGCAAGATATAAGAACTTACAGGTGTGGAAAAGTGCGAAGGGGCTGCCTATGCCCTGGAGATCCAAAGGATCTAGTCAAAGGCCTGCAGCTCACGGAGTGAGTCTGTACCAGGAGGCTAAAGAGGCTGTGCTGCAAGCTCGCTGACGGTGTCAAGGGGAAAGTGAAGACCAGAGTCCTCTGAAGAAACAAACTAGCCTTCCTTCACTTCCCTTCTATACCAGACAGCAAGGCCACTGGTTGCTGTTACTCACACCCAGTAAATCCCTTCAGCCATACCCAGACTATGCTAATGCAATTTAGTTGAGCTTTTCTTACTCAAGTTGAGGCAACTGGTAAACTATCATGCATTTAAAAGAATGAGATTTTAAGTTTCCAGTGAAGAGTTTTTAAAGTATTTTGTAGAATCTGTCATTTTTAGTGTCTTTGCCATAGTTCCTTTTTTGAAGTCTCTTTCCCCTTACAACCCATTTATGCTCTTTCTTATCATTTCCTGAGGATATTGCTTTTGATGCTTTCACAGAGCAGTTCAACAATCCCCATGATATGTGGTTTTTCCTTATTTAATAAGCTTAAAACTCACTCTGCTTACTAGTGTGTTTCTACTGGTTTCTGCCTAGAGAACATTAACAGAATTATGGACTGCTTTTTTCCTTGAGACAAGGTCTCTTGTTATGTAGTCCAGCCTGGCCTTGAACTCTCCGTGATCTTTCTGCCTCAGCCTCCCGCGTGATGGGATTACAGGTGTGTGCCCCATGCCTCGCCCAGTAACTTCTAAATAAACTGACAAGCCAGGAGGATCATTGTGAGTTTGAAACCAGCCTGGGGTACAAAGTGAGTTCAAGGCCAGACTGAACTGCATAGCGAGATCTTGTCTCAAAAAGAAAACAAATAAATACATAAACAAAATAACAAAAAGTTTACATTAAACACAAAAATAAACTGCAATTATTTTATTTTACCAACAGTTGCTTAGAAATGATCTTTGATATATTTTAACAACTTATATATAAAAACATATTATCAGACATTCTGTCCATGGGCCATCTTTGTCTGGTTTAGCACATAATCCCCTTCTGCTGTGAAATCTGGGGTGCAAGAATCTGCCTGTTTTGTTGCTGTATCTAGTAAATTGCATTTTGGTAATCCTAAATATCTACCATTTTCTTTGGTCTCTCAGGACCTTATACCTTTGGTGGCTGATTCTCATGCACTGGGTTTTTTCAAAAAAGTTTTTTGGTTGGTTTTGTTTTAAGGGAATAAATGTGCTTATGCTCTTTTTTAGAATTTTCTTAAGAGTATGCTTTGATGACAACAGAAAACAAATATTTAAAACAAAAACTTAATGCCACCTTCAAAATTGAAGGTATTTAGAGAATCTTAACTACTGACCAAGATTAGGGAGTCAGGAAAGGGTAGAGGCACTTGGGGATTTCTCAGGTTTCCTGTAGCCAGACAGAACATGTAAGTTCTTAGCTAAAGAAAAGTGATGGTAAACACGTTTTTCTTCTTTAAGCACTAAACATAAGCACTTCACATACACAATATCAGTTCCTCTGTGCCAGCTAACAGATGAGCCCCATTTAGCCACCATAAACTATCTGTTCACACCTACTCCTGTTTTATGGTTTAGGCAAATAACTGCAGTACAACAATATAAATACTGATTTTTCAGGTTTCATAATTGCTAAAAACAGTTTTCAAGACTACACTAGATGCTAATGGTAGGCCTATGCAGGCCAATTTTAAAGTGCATATTAGAAGATAGTAAGTCCTGCAGAAGCTTCAGCCTCTAATAATATAGGTTACCAGTTTTACAAATTCAGAAACATTAAATTAATAGGAAAACAGTATTTAAAAAATTCTCTAAGAGGCATTTAGTTTCTTATAGGCTTCTTCAATGAACATTGCCATGTTCTTCATCTGGGATGAATTATGAAGAATATCCAAGTCTTTCAGAAGAACCTTCTGGTTTGGAATTAGCATCAACATTTCTTTCTGTGGGTAAGATAGTATAATTAGTTTACAATGAAAACCATCAAACAGCTGTTATTTAGAGAGCACTGTATAGTGACTATCCATCCCCAAGTTCACTAATTATCAATAAATAGTTATTCCTCTTTCAAAACTAATTTTCCCTCTCTCCATTGGAGAATTACAGATAGGGAAATTTTAAATTACTTTCTGAGAAAACACGAACACATTCCACTACTAACAACATTTACACTACAGTATTTATTATGGTCCTCTGAAGAAAGATAAATTACGCACTATAGTTTACTACAGATATGAAAATGCTATTTTATAAGGAATTACATACTACTGTTAGAAGGAGAAATGAAACCATTGTCAAAATTTTCTTCCAGAAATGATCCTACAGTGACAATTACACAGATATATAAATATACATATGTATGTGTGTATCCCCCCCATGATTATCTGTAATACAAAATTTATTTACGTTCACTAGTAATTTACAAATTGTATTATGGTATATCCATACAATAAAATATAACTGCTGACAAGGATGAGAGATCTACATGAACTGACAGAGATATATAGTCTATGTAGTCAAATGAGAAAAATAATTTGTCACACAGTTTATATTAGAATTAGAGTTATGTAAAGAAACAGGATATGATTTACACATGTGCACTGCATAACTGGTGATGCAGTCAGCATGGTAAATAGACACTTGCCTGCAGCGTGGGTGTTTTTAGACTGTTCTGAGACAGCTCTGGGAGAGAAAGTACGTTATGTCTATCCAGTTGAAGCACCTAAATAGAAACAAACCTAGAGATTATTTCAAAAGGTTGATTTGCTGATCTTAATTTCAAAGTTTTTTCTTTTTTTTTTTAAATTTAAGAATTAAAAAGTACGTCCAAATTCTGGAGGGAGAGTGGAGAGGAGAGGAGGACCTGAAGAATTAAGATGTGTTATGCATCAACTCATGATGGATCTAATTATTATTTTGTATTGCAAACATGTACTAATAAAAGTTTTCTAAAAACATCTAAATTCTAGCAATACATTTTAAAACAATTACCTCTTTTGCCTTTTCCTCCTCCTCTTCTATTTCATGTGTCAAAATTTCAATTTTGTTTTTTAGACTCTTAATATTCCCAGTCACTGACTCTGTAGTCTGTACTATTTTATCTATTTCTTCCTAAATCAGAAAGAAATTATAATATTAAACCTTAATAGATTTATATAAAAAATACTTTATGTACAAAAATACTTTTGAAAGAAAATACTGATTTTTGTTTTGCTTTCAAAAGTCAGACTTCTTAAAAAACTACCATTGCCAGTGTAACAACGCATTATAAGGAAACCAACAGCAGAATAGAGAGAATCGTTCCTTAAAAGCTCAGTGAAGCTGCTTGTATCAGATATCCTGGGAGACCCAGGCATGAGTCTTGCAGAGCCGGGTACTGCTGACAGCAAGACAGCAACCGTTCTTCAGTGGCTTATAGCTTCATATACCAAAGAAACCCTAACTTATATTCCTACAGTTGCGAATATTTCTTTAATTTACCAAAATTAAATGCTGGGCATTAGGACTGGAATAGTATAAAAAACAGGAACAGTATCTCACATTAACTTAATATACAATATATAGGAGAAGATAAAAAGAAAATTAGAAATTAATGAAATGAATATGAAAATATTAGGGATGTCTTGGGTTGCAAGCCAAGCACAGAATTAGGCAGCATCCAGGTTTCTAAAAAGTGTAAGACATTGCATGGCTTTTACATCTAGTCCTAGCAACTGCTAATGAGATCAATCCTCTGAGGATCAGGGAACAAATGGATAAATCATACAAAAATGGTATACAGAGAACAACTCAAGCTTGTTCAGCAATATGGCCAATGCTACTTCAACACCATTCTCCAAACACTAAAAGCAGAACTACTGGTGAAATCTACAATAGTCCTCTTCAAGAAATATAATATGGCTTCTACATGACTGTTCTCTTGAAAGAGAACTGGCAGGGGTCAGCAACTGCCTATGGGCTGCTTTTGCATAATTCAAGAACTACCAATGGCTTTTACATTTTTAAAGAATCATTAAAAACCGAAACAAAAAAATAGGCAACAAATGCAACGTGTTCCATAAAGGTTAAAGCACTTGTCTGACCCTTTACAGGAATGTGTATAAATAATCACTTAGTATCTTAAACCTGGAGCTCCATTTACTAAAATGTAAACTGTATAGTTTAATTCTTTATTACAGAAAATGTCATTCATATAAAGAATGCTGTCATGAATCCTTCATGTATCTATCATCCAGTTTCAATTATCAACTCATGACTATCTTATTTCAACTCAATTCCTTCCCTACAAATCCTAGCTAGGCACCCTATAAATCTTACTTATAAATATTATAGTGCCAAAATATTCTATAGTTCTATAGGACACAAAATATATATGACCACAATATCATTATCACACTCTTAAAGATCTCAATAAATTCATATAAAATCTAGCTTTCACATTTCTGATTTTCTCACAAATTAGAACTTCTGTATTCGAAAAAAAAGTAGATTATTATATATGAATAAATGAAGATTTTTATACATGAAAAAAAATAAGACATTCCCTGAAAACAAGCCCTACTGAACCTTTTGGAGCAAAAATTAGTACGAACCAGCCTTATTTTGGAGAAAATAGAGTAGGTACATTGCTGTTCCTATTCCTTTTATTTTATCTTTAATACTGAGGGGGAAAAAATGGAGTCATTTGTGAATTTTGAATTATGAGAAATACGTGGGCATGCATCCTTTACATACATTATGTATTATGACCCTGCCCTAAATGACTTGTTAACAAAGACCTAAACACCATATTTACAAACGCCTGCAAAATATCTAAAGAATATAGGATCAGTTTATTTTAGTTTTGTAATTAATCGGTAAGTTCCTGGAGGGTTTTTAAAAAATTTAGGTGTCTACTAATTAAAAGCTTAATCATGATAAATAATGTTCTACTCTATCAGGCTGCAACAGAATCACACTCTGCAGTTAGGCTGATCACATTAGCATCTCAATTTTAAGCAATTTGTCTAAAGTCAGAAATAGCAGCATGTATTTTTTTCACATTTGTAAAATAAGAATATTAGAGTTACTTTAACTCATTGTGAGGATTAAGGGATATAAAGTGCTTAGAAAGCCCTCAATATATATTAGCTGTAATAACAGTAAAAACATTGACAATGATTATATTTTCTTACTATATACGAGAGAACTAATGTTTTGAAATCCACAGCATGTAGTAATTTAGTGATATTAAAAATATTAGGTTAGTTCAGCTAAAATAATCTAATAAAAAAATAAGATTGCTACTTCACAATAAATATATTAGAAGCCCTTCAATTTCAGGCAACTTTTGCTTCAACAACAACAACAACAACAACAACAACAACACAGTAATAATAAAATGAAACATCTAGTTCATGATCTAGTATTTATTCCCTGAAGAGTATCACAATTTAAGAAACTTGCAATTCTCCCAGCCCCTGCTTCTTATGGATTCCCTGTTCAGATTTCATACCTGCAATAACGCCATTCCTTCTTCATTAGCTCTGTCCTGTGCTCTTTCTATCTTCAGTAGACTTGACATATTAGTTAAATATGTTAGCTTTTGGCGAGGGGCTTTCAGGGTTTCACACAGTTGTAGCAACCTTAGGAACAGAAGAAAACAAGATTATTTTATTATCGTTAGTATTACTTTTGAAAAAGCTTCCCGCCCCAGCAGTTGTTAACTATGGCAGTACAGAGTCCCCCTCCTAAAAAGCCCTGTCACTTAACGTCCCAATTTATTTATCTCAAATCACAGGGCTGAGGCTGTTTACTTGTTAATCTAAATGTTTTCAAAGAATACCAAGTTCCCTGAAGTTTAAGGAACTACAACACTTAGATTAAAACGATATGCTTTAAAGTAGTAGCAACATAAATGGTATTCAACCCTCAAATAAAAAATCCTCCTACAAATACAAGTTGATCAGATCATTACTAGAAATTGATCTTTTTATATCCTCACATCTAGCAAGAATAATAGCTTTCTCAGATTTGATTCTTCAATTCTATAAGGAAGAAATCAAGGAGGAAAAACTTGGTTGCTTCTACTTTATAGCAGCATTTTTGTGTTCTAAAAATTCTACTATAAGTCAAACATTCTGAAGTACTTCAAAATTTGAAACTCTTTGGGTGTTAACATGACACAAGTAGAAAAACCAGTATCATAAAACTTTGAGTCATGTACAAAATTACTAAAAATATTATATAACATTAAGTCAGACTATGTTTATAAGGTATGTATGTTGCATAAATGAATTTTATGTCTAGATTTGGGTCCCATTTCTAAGATTCCTAATTGTATATATGCAAATACTACCCCGCCCCCCAACCCCCATCTCAAATCCCAATCACTCCTGGTCCCAAGCATTTTGGAATACAGATACTGAATTAGTACTTAAGATTTAAAAGAATCAGACTACTACTGGAGAAGCCAAGATTTATCTTTCTGTGATCATGCTGAAAATATTAATTTTTGGTGAACAAAGAAAAGTAACATAAGCCCTACAAATAATTCTCATTAAACTGTAAAAACAAACTTTAATTACCCAGAAAATCACCATTCGCCTATCACAACAAGCACAAACAAGCTGTTTGCATAAAGCTTCTTAAGAAAGATAAGTTTTAGTTTTTTTAAGTAAAATAAAGATTCTAGGGCTGGTGAAATAGCTCAGTGATACGGTGCTAAACTGGCATATGCCAGGCCCTGAGTTTAATTCTGAAATTCTACATTTGTTTTCATTAACTCAACTATGTAGAAAAGCCATTTACTGTTCCAAATGTTCAAAATAATCATTAGCTTTCCAAGAGTCTCACAAACTCTAATGGCTGTGCCTTGAATATATGCTACCATACTCAATGCCAACGCTTAAATCATTTGTTTCTAAAGCTGTAGGGGCTAAGAGTTTGTTTGCCTTGCCCATCTGGTCACGATAGAGATTTAGCACACCCTCCCTATGTTGCTATTAAGGCTAAGAATGATACTTAAAGAAAAAATAAATCAAACTTGTGTTCAAATGACTTCCCAGAAATAGAGTACTAGGTCATAAACATTTCGAGGCAAACCCAAAACTGAGATATTAAACATTCTTTTTATAAAACATTCTTTTATGAAAGGAAAATATTATATAAATACTAGAAAAACTGAGCTTTAAAAATCATGGGCAATGGTGTGGCTCTAGAATCATTTGAAAAGAAACATACATTAGTGAGCTGCCACAAGATGAACAGCTGTTATGCCCTGGAAAATTATACAGTTGTTTGTGCAAATACTGTAATACAAATATGAACTAAAGGAAAAGCACAACGATAGGATAAACATCACATTGGTTAAGCACAGCAAACTGTTAACTTTAACTTGTTAAAAACAAAGTTTAAGGGAAATAAAGTTGAAAAATATTTTTGAAATACCGACACTGAATAGTAAAACGTGACAATTTAAAAAATAAATTGTGATTTTCAGATTCTTTTGTACAAACTCTAACATTTGGGCTGTTTCAGTAATACATGTAGCAGGAGTTCAGACATGAAACAACACATACTCTCAAATTATTCTTAGAAACAACAATACTGATCTTCCACAAATATCTATCTTGGCCAAAAAGGAACAATCAGATTTTAAAAAGAACTATGTTGTAATCATTTTCAATTATATAACTATCTTACCTTCTCTTCAGGCAGTTGAGATGACACTGAATTGGTTCTTTTTCTTTAGTATTACTCAAAATTGCTCTAAAAAAGAAATTGAGTAAGTATTAGCTTGAAACATGAGTAACATATTTTGTGTACTTTTACTGTCTGAATTCTTTCAAGTGTTCTTCCGTGCCAAGTAGGCAAAGATACTTACTTTCCTTTTTGTATGAAATATATTTTAGGTCTGGAGGACTGAATATCTCTGCAAGCAGGGAGGGATTGCAGGTTCCTGAGGCACCTCGGCCTGTGGCTTCTGGGTGCAGTGAAGTGGAGCAGCAGGTTAGAGACCACTACATCCACCTCCCCATCCCGGCTGCACTTGGAGGTCTGCTGAGCTCCCCACGGGTGGGTGGGCCTACACTATCCCCCGAGCCTAGCCACGCCTAGCCATTGGTGTGCAGAGGAGGAGCTGGGCGGATCTGGAGTGCCTGCAGAAGCCCCTTCCTTTGTCTGGAGGACTGTGGATATCTCTGCAAGCAGGGAGGGATCACAGGTTCCTGAGGCACTGCGGCCTGTGGTGAGTACCCTAACCCAGCTGCGATTGAAGAGCTGTGGAGCTTCCAAGGGGCAGGTGGGCACACAGTGTCCCTGAGGCCCAGCTTGTCTGGAACTGCAGAGTTCTGAACAAGCAGAGGAGGGCCATTGGTTCTGCAGGCCCAATGGCTTGGGATAGCGTGGTGCCAGAGTCTCAGTAGCTGCAAACATAGAAGGGGATTTTCAACAGATCCTGAGGAAGCTTTCAAATAACACTTGAAACACAGAAATATAGGAAAATGACAAAACGAAAGACCAAATTACAACCTCAAACCTCCAGCCCATCTCAGGAAACCCTAGGAGGAATGTATTTAGAAGAAAATATATCCCATCCACCTCATATATCAGACACAATAGCTACTGAAGTTGACAAGCAACTCCAGGAAGCTTTAAAGAAATTCAAACTCGAAATAATTTCCCAGATAAAAGAAGAAATGATAAAAGAAATGAAAGAGATTCTAAATATATCTAAAGAAAACACAGATAAAAAATTGGAGGAACTAAACAAAAAGATAGAATCCCTAGACAAGCAATATAAGAAACAAACAGAATACATAATGCAGATGCACAGAGATATACAGGAAATAAAAAACTCCACTGCAAGTTGTAAAAACTGCCTTAATGAAAGTGAAGATAGAATTTCAGACCTTGAAGACAGGATTGTAGCTAGTGAACAGGAAAGGAAAGATCTTTTAAAAATAACAAGGAATCAGGAAACAACAATTCAACAACTGCAAGACGATGCAAAGAAGAATAACATAAGAATGATAGGGATTAATGAAAAGAAGGAGACAACATAAAGGATATCAAGAGGATATTTAGAGAAGTAATAGCTGAAAATTTCCCAAGCATGAGATCAGAAACTGACATCAGGATCAGTGAAGCATATAGAACTCCAAATAGTCATAACAAAAATAAAACTACACCCAGGCATATAATAATCACCATCCCAGAAATCCAACACAAGAATAGATTATTAAAAGCTGTCAGAGAGAAAAGACAGATCACTTATAAAGGAAAACCTATCAGAATCACAGCAGACTTCTCATCACAAACAATAAAGTCAAGAAGAGCATGGAGTGAAGTATTCCAGATCCCAAAGCAAAATGATTTCCAACCTAGACTGATATATCCTGCAAAACTATCATTCAAAATAGATGGTGCAATACGATACTTCCATGACAAAGAACAGCTGAAGAACTTCATGAACACCAAACCAACCCTGCAAAAAATACTGAAAGTCAGTTTAGATACACAAAGGAAAAAACCACTAAGCAAAGCAGATAATTAAACAGAACAGAAAGATAAAGATGCAACAGCAGAGTGATCACATGTCAACAATAAACCAGCATTTAACAGTAATAACCATTAATGTAAATGGTCTCAATGCACCAATCAAAAGAAACAGACTAGCAGAATGGATCAAGAAACAAAATCCAACCATATGCTGTTTACAGGAAACCCATCTAACCCAGAAGGATACTCACAGACTGAAAGTCAAAGGATGGAAAACAATACTTCATGCAGCAGGAATTCAAAAAAAGGCAGGAGTAGCCATTCTGTTTGCAGACAACGTGAACTTTAAACCAACAATGACCATAAAGGATAAAGAAGGTCACTACATACTCGTAAGGGGAAAACTCCAAGAGGAAGAGATAACTATCTTAAATATATACGCACCAAACTCCAGAGCACCCAGTTATATAAAACAATTATTAACAGAAATGAAAACTCAAATTATCAGTAACACAATTATAACAGGAGACCTTAATACGCCATTGACACCAAGGGACAGATCAACCAGACAGAAAATGAGCAAAGAAATAACAGAACTGAATCATACCTGTGAACAAATGGGTTTGATAGACATATACAGAATGTTCCACACAACAACATCAGAATACACATTCTTCTCAGCAGTACATGGATCATTTTCTAAAACAGACCATATATTAGCTCACAGAACATATTTAAACAAGTGCAAAAGAGCTGAAATCATCCCTTGCATGTTATCGGATCATGGCGCTCTGAAATTAGAAATTAATGATAAAAGATACTGCAAATATCCCACAAACACATGGAAACTGAATAACACACTCTTGAGTAATCAGTGGGTCACAGAAGAAATTAAAGAAGAAATCAAACAATACCTAAAAGAAAATGAAAACGCAGATACAACTTACTGGAATCTGTGGGATGCAATGAAAGCCGTCCTGAGAGGAAAATTTATTGCACTGAGTTCCCACATGAGGAAAACAGAACGAATACAAATAAATAACTTGATGCTACACCTCAAACAGCTAGAAAAAGAAGAGCAAGTCAAGCCCAAAGACAAAAGAAGAGAGGAAATTATAAAAATCAGAGCAGAAATCAATGCAATAGAGACTAAGAAAACAATCCAAAGAATCAATGAATCAAAGAGTTGGTTCTTTGAAAGAATAAATAAAATCGATAAGCCCCTAGCCAACCTTATTAAAAAAAGGGAAGAAAAAGCTCAAATTCATGCAATAAGAAATGAAAAAGGAGAAATCACTACAGACCCAATAAAAATACAGAAGATCATCAACACCTATTTCGAAAACCTCTACTCTCAAAAGTTTGATAACACAGAAGAAATAGACAGATTCTTAGAAGCATATGAAGTGCTAAAGCTAGATCAAGAGGATGTAAAACTGTTGAATAACCCAATCTCTGTTACTGAAATTGAAAATGTAATTAAGTCCTTACCCACCAAGAAGAGCCCAGGCCCAGATGGATTCACTGCAGAATTCTACAAGAAATACAAAGAAGACCTAATGCCGACACTCCTCAAACTATTCAATGAAATTGAAAGGGAAGCAATCCTTCCTAAGTCATTCCTGGAAGCAAATATTACTCTAGTACCAAAACCTGAGAAAGACCCAACTAAAAAAGAGAACTATAGACCGATCTCCCTAATGAACACAGATGCAAAAATCCTCAATAAAATAAAATATTGGCAAATAGGATGCAGCAAATCATCAAGAAGATTATACACCATGACCAAGTGGGATTCATCCCAGGAATGCAAGGATGGTTCAACATACGCAAATCAATAAATGTAATCCACCATATCAATAAAGCCAAAAATAAGAATCACAGGATCATTTCTATAGATGCAGAAAAAGCCTTTGATAAGGTCCAACATTTATTCATGATAAAAACTTTACAGAAAATTGGAATAGATGGTCTTTACCTCAATATAATAAAGGCCATTTATGACAAACCAACAGCCAGCATCATACTAAATGGCCAAAAATTGAAAGCCTTTACTTTAAAATCAGGCACAAGACAAGGATGTCTTTATCACCACTCCTATTTAATATAGTAGTGGAAGTACTAGCCAGAGCAATTAGGCAAGAAAGAGAAATAAAAGGGGTAAAGATAGGAAAAGAAGAAGTTAAATTATCATTGTTTGCAGATGACATGATACTCTCCATAGAAGACCCCCTAAACTCCATTGAAAGACTCTTAGATACAATAAATAAATTCAGTAATGTGGCTGGATACAAAATCAATACTCAGAAATCAATAGCATTCCTATACACGAACAACAAAATCACAGAGAGGGAAATAAGAGAAACTGGACTATTCACATTAGCAAGCAAAAAAATGAAATATTTAGGAATTACTCTTACAAAAGAAGTGAAAGACTTATACAGTGAAAATTATAATACACTGAAAAAGGAAATTGAAGATGATCTCAGAAAATGGAAAGACATCCCTTGCTCATGGATAGGAAGAACAAACATTGTGAAAATGGCCATTCTCCCAAAACTGTTATACAGATTCAATGCAATCCCAATAGAAATACCATCAACATACCTTATAGATCTAGAGAAATCACTCCTAAATTTCATCTGGAACCAGAAGAGACCTAGAATCGCAAAGGCAATTCTAAGCAGCAAAGACAAAGCAGGAGGCATCACAATCCCTGACTTGAAGTTATACTACAAAGCAACAGTAGTAAAATCAACATGGTATTGGAATCAAAACAGAGCTGAAGATCAATGGAATAGATTAGAAGATACAACCACAACTACAAACACACTCAACCACCTTATCTTTGATAAAGGAGCCAAGCAGATTCACTGGAAGAACGACAGTCTCTTTAATAAATGGTGCTGGAAAAACTGGCTCTCCATTTGCCGAAAACTAAAGCTAGACCCATGTCTATCACCATGTACTAAATTAAAATCTAAATGGGTCAAAGATCTGAATATTAAAACAGAAACACTAAATCTATTGGAAGACAAATTGGGTAGAAACCTTGGAGACATAGGAGTAGGTAGAGAATTCATGAACAGGACTCAAACCGCACGGGAAATACTTCCCAGAATCAATAACTGGGACCACTTCTTATTAAAAAGTTTCTGCATGTCAAAAGAAATCTCCAGCATAGTGAAAAGAAAACCCACAAACTGGGAAAAGATTTTAGTGAACTCTCTCTCAGACAAGGGACTCTTGTCTAAAACATATAAAGAATTAAAAAAACTCAGACCTCCAAAATTCAAAGATCCAATCCAAAAATGGGCATCTGAGATGAATACGCAATTCTCAGATGAAGAAATGCAAATGGCAAATAAATACATGAAAAAATGCTCATCATCATTGGTCATTAGAGAAATGCAAATTAAAACCACACTGAGATACCATCTCACTCCTGAAAGAATGGCTAGGATCAAGAAAACCAACAACAACAAATGCTGGAGAGGCTGTGGGGAAAAAGGAACTCTCCTGCACTGTTGGTGGGAGTGTAGACTGGTACAGCCTTTGTGGAGGTCTGTCTGGAGGTTTCTCAAAAAGTTGGGATTGGAAATCCCATTCATTCCAGCTATTCCACTTCTAGGCATATTCCCAGAAGAACTGAAAGCAATATACCACAGTGATATATGTGCACCTATGTTTATAGCAGCACAATTTGTAATCACCAGATCTTGGAAACAACCCAAGTGTCCATCAACTGAGGAATGGATAAAAAAGTTGTGGTATTTCTATACAATGGAGTATTATTCAGCTATAAAGAAGGATCACATTGAGATATTTATCAATAAATGGGCGCAGCTTGAGACCATACTCATAAGTGAAATAAATCAATCTCGCATGTATGAATACCGAATATTTTCCCTAATGTAAGTAATGATTCAAATATATAAAAATATGTGGTAATCATGATTCCCCATTATGTGGCCTTGAAGCCTTATAAAATTTTCACTTATTAATTGGAAAGGCTTTATTCTGGGCTTCTTGATATGGAAATATTTGAAGCTATAGTATATGAAGTTTTATCCAAATATTTCAAGGAAAAAAACATAAACTATGGTAACTACTATTCTTTAAAAAGATTAGTTATTTCTTATGTTTATTTTAATTAAGGGAAAAATTAAAAAAATTAGGATATATAATAGTAACTCTTTTTGATTTCCTATTAACTTGTTTTGAAGTCCTGTAATACTCGCACGATCTTGTTTTGACTGATTAGACTCTGTTCCATTCTGTGCGATAGTATCAAGTTTGAGGGTATAGGCAACTACTTTGAAGGCAGTAAGATTCACTAAGATGCCCATTCTGGTTTGACTATTGTCTCCTTTGGAAGTCCTGTAATGTTTACAATGCCTAAGTTTTATTGGTCTTGTTCTCTACTGTTTTGTCCAACTTTATAATATCTAATGAGATAGACAATTCTTTTTAAGGAAACAAGAGACAACGTTGATAACCATTGTTAATAACCTTGTACTCTGTTCTACATCATGTGCTATGTTTATCCTTGGTTTTGACTGACAGCTTTGTTTTGCCGTATTTGACTTTATTCTCCCCCCCCCAAAAAAAAAGTAATAAGAACTAAGGAGTAATAAAATCCAAAATGTGTAAATTTTGTTGTAAAAAAGAGGGAGGAAAAAAAAAAAGAGCTCTAACGGATATAACAGCAAGTGTGTTTAGGGGTGTTAAATAGCTGACTATATTAATGTTTTTGGATTATTGAACACAGCTGTTTGCAGTCTCTCTGTTTGAATGTCTACTTTGTATTCTTTGATACTGTGATGTGAGCAACTATTTCCAAGATGATAATATGTAATCTATTAATAGGTGATTTCTTACTGTTATGATTTTTTTTGTAGTTCTGTATTATGTGTAACCTTACACTGCTTTGTTTTGTTTTGTGTTTTTCTCTTTTTCCTCTTAAATAAAATAAAATAAAATATATTTTAAATAGCAGTACAGTAAAAATATTTTAAGATCATAGGAATCTGCTGAAGGAATTCAGCTCTAATACAGAATTCTACCTTGCTTTCTTTATATCAACTATAGAATGGTAGCTTCCATATTAATAGTCACTCTGAAATCAACTTCTTCCAAAAAAATCCTTATTGACAAAACAATTTAAAATTTTTATACATGGCTGATCTGGCCATAAAGATTTTTTACTGATGGAATCCCATGTTTCTAAAATTAAAGATGTTTTTGCTGAAGACCAAGGCTATTACAAACATTAAGTATATCTTCTTCTGAAATATAAAAAATTCCCAAAGCATATTGTCATATTTAGAAAAATACTTACAGGAAACACAGTAAGTAAGAACCAAGAGATGAAAAAGAAAAATTTTATACTCACATAATCACTGCTTCTATCACAGTTTCCAAATGCTCCCTCATACTCTTTGAAAGAGGTTGCCAGGTTTTTCTCTTGTTGGATGCTATCTTTATCTGTTTTAGATTAATATGATTTGTTTGTCCTGTTATTAGTGATAGAAGATATTGTGATTAGTTCAGAAATTTGCATGGTTTTACTTAAAAAATGGATTCTTTAATCTAAAAAAGTTAACAGAATTATAAAAACAAAATACTATAGAGGTTTATAAACTTTTTAACTCATTTATTATTGCAGGACTAGGTGTTGAATATGAATTCAGTGCCCATTATGTTAACTGAAATAGTATTAGGCAATACTGCAAAACAAGCCCCAAATAATTTTAGGTGAAAAAATAACCTATAATTATTCAAAGTTATAGTCTCAGTAATGACTTGAACTCAAGAACTTTATTGAGAAGACTGCAATACTCTTTCTACCAAATATTAGATGGCAACTAGAAAAAAAGCAAATTAATCAAACCACAAAAATAGATAATTCATCATCAGCTGTGTGCTATCCTACTTATAAACAAAGGAGATTACTGACTTTCCTAAAGAACAGTTTTAGAGAGAAGGGATATTAAGCAAATTACATATGTGCAGAACATTGCAAGATAAAGAAGTAGTATGCTGTATGGAAGTATAATACCAAAGCGTTGTCTTGGGTGAGGAAAGGTAGGGGATCCTCCTCTCATGAGGAAGTGATATTTAAGAAAATATGTCTATTCCAGATTAATTTACTCCAAACAGTCTTAGGTAGTGGTTCCAAATTAATCTACACAACAGTGGCAGAACAGCAAATACTCTGTCTCGAGAAAAGTAAGTGGGTTTGTCTTTACATAACAATTTAGACTGTGAGACATTTTGATTTTCACTAGTTCTTGTCAAATTAGTAGCATAGAAGCCTTTCCCATATTTTGCTATAAGTGTTAAGTAAAATTTTAGTTGACAAAAAATAGTGACTGTATCTTATGAAAATGTGAATGTGGGTGCTTATTACTCTTTTGCACAGAACTCATAAAAAAGATGCTGAAAAACTTTTCATGAATAAATCCTAAGAAAGATACATATTAGAGAAGATACAGAAAAGAAATACCTTCAGAAGATGTATGCTTTGGATGATTTTTAATTCTTTTTGTGCTTCTAACCTAAAGGGAAAATATATATACGGAAAGAAAATTAAACATCACATGAAAATGTATCACCTTTGCTATAGCTTTGTTACATATTTTAGTATTTTAAAGAGTATACATATATATTCTGGTGGATAGAAAAAAATGCATAATGCCACTTCTACAGAAAACAGCGCATATTTACCACAAGCAGAACATATACTAAAGTAATTGTTAGATGACAGTAAGAACAATTTTATGTAGTGTAAAAGAATTTTCAAAGTAAATCAATATTCACTTTGCTGGTAAAATAGTATTATGCATTTTATCTAAAAAAAAATAAGCTTTGCCTAATGAACAAGGTGAAACCTAGGATACTTTGGATTCGTTCATTTACTGTTTTATGAAGATAGGAAAAATTAAGATAAGAAGTATTAATTCTTCCCAAACTATTTTTTACAAGTCTTGTTATAAAACTCTTAGACTACAATATGATTTCCTATAGTTTGTAGTTAAACTAACTCTCAGTCTTCACCTACTTCTACAGACTAAATACATGACATTTCCAACTAAGAGCTCTAAGTGAAGGATTTAATATTTTCTTTACCACTTCCTCTGAGAACTCCACTTCATCAACTTTTCTTTTTGAATTTTTTTTTACTTGTTGAGGCTTTTTCCTGGAATTATTTGCTTTATCACGCATCTTGATCTAAACAGTACAACTGTGACGCTTTTAAAGAAACTGTAAAGATGAAAAGAATACAGAAAAATGATCAAACCTTTTACAATGTTTTGTTAAAAAAGACTACCTGTGATTGCTTCAAATTTTCCTTTTTAAAAAAAAAAATGTAGTGAATGAAAGTTTGGGGACAGCATAATACTTTTAAAAAACATTGTAACTTTTTTGTTTTTAGGAAACATGGTCTTTGCTATGTTGTCCAGGCTTGCACTGAATTCTCTATTGAGCCCAGGCTGGTCTCAAACTCACGGCAATCTTATGGCCTCAGTCTCCCCAGTGCTGGGATTACAGGCATGTGCCACCATGTCTGGTAATATTTTAACACAAATAACTTTGGCTGTCTTGTCAGTAAAAGGATAAATGATTCAATTTCATTCCTCTAATAAGTATGAAGATGAATGAATTCCACTCCTCAAAATCCTTTTCATTTACATGGCTTTCAAAATATCATTTGAATGGCTTTTATTTACATAACATCATCTCCATGTTTAAATCCAAGAAAACAAAAATAATGTTCACAAATGTCAGTTCAAAAAGTAATATCTTCCTAAAGTAACTGGGTTTACATTACTCAATCTATGGTAAAGATAGGAGATAACTTTTAGGGTTATACTATTTTTTTCCCAGCAGTATTGGGGATTAAATCCAGGACCTGAGCTATATCCCCAACTCTTTTGTTAATTCTTACCTTTCAAACAATCCACAGTATATTGTGGCTACTAATGTAATTGTCTGCCATTTCTAAGGATTTAAATGTTATCTGCTGTACATGCATTTTAAAAATAGTACGGAAGTATATTGATTACTTTATCCTACAAATTACAAAACAAGACATGATGAGGATTTTCATAATTAAACTTCTTTTCCCCTTACAGTTCTTTATCACTAAACTCCTTCTTGATAGAAGGAATAGAGGGGTGGATTATGTATTATTGTGTTAGACCATAAGGAATACACCTGTTATAAATTAGGTACAGTATACAAGGAAGTTTGTATATTTGCATATGTATGTATATTGTTTTTTGGGCATATACAGCTAGATATTATACAGGTAAATCACTGTTCCTTTTCTAAACTTTCAGAGTTTATTTCAAATAATATATAAAAAATTGGTTGAAAGACCACAAAATATATAGACTGTCAGATCTGTTACAAAAAGTAGTAGAAACCAAAACATCACTTTACCCAGATTCTAAACAATGTGATTCCTTACTCTACACTTAATCTCTCTTTTGTTGCATTGCTAACAAACCCAATTTCCTCAACATAACTTCCCCTACTTCTAAATTCATCCATGAGTGCCGCATTCACTGACCTCTCTTACAGGAGGTCACATATACAGTTCATGTTGTCTATTAGATAAGAGGCAAGTGAGGGCTGATACTCAGATTAAAAACGGTATAAATCTGAGCCAAATGTAGTGATGCATACCTATAATCTCCAGCATTCAGGAAGCTGAGGCAGGAGGATCACTGCAACTTCAAGTCCAGCATGGCTACATAGTGAGTTCAAGTGTCCAGCCTGAACCACACAGCAAGACTCTGTCTCAAAAAAAAAGAAAAGAAAATTCCTCTTTCTATTCTTGTTCTTTTTTGTTGTTGTTGTTGTTTTAATGGCACTGAGAACTGACCCAGTTCAAATTTACAATTGTGATTCAGTCTAAGTTTCCCAGAGAGCTGGGATTACAACAGTGTGTCATCATGGGCAGTTGCAAATTTCTTCCTGCTACTGGTAAAGCGGGATAAATTCTAGATTCCCTTGTCTTACATCTTAGCAGATTCTGCAGCTCAAACAATTGGCTGAAGTGATTCTGTTTCAATTTACTAGTCAAAAAGAAAAACAAAAACCAAGAGATTGGCAGCTTCAACTTCCTCTTGCTTGGAAACACTGGCTCTTGGAATTCAGCTGCTGCTATACTGGAAAGCTAACATGCAGAGGATCTGAAAAGCCCTATGTAAGCTTTCAGCCAACAGCCAGCAACAATTTAGCAGTTTGGTGTGTACCTAAGCCAATATGCTACAGCTGACATTGCATGGAAAAAAGATAAGCTGGCTTCCCAATCCTGAGTCCGAAACAAGTGATTAAAAGATCCATCTCAATACCAATCACACAGCATACAAACTCTTTAGCATGTCATTTAGTCTTCTGAATCTAGCCTTGCCTCGCTTCCCATACTTCTACTCCTTAATTGAATTTCGCTCTCTATACAGATTTGATTTCTTGAACACACTTAGTGTAATTCTGCTTCTCATGTACAAATTGTATCCTCTACCTGACCTCCTTTCTTTCCTGTCTCTTCTTAACCTCTCAGATCACCTTCTTCCAAAGCTTTCCTAACCACTATACTTTCTTTCTCTGTGGACTCTATGGCCTCTCTCCGCAAGTTTATGGTTTGATTCTATGAATCACTTTCTCTTACTTTCTTGTGTTCAGTAACAAGTCATTCAGTGCTACTCTAAATGTGATTCACAAACTGGCACAATTCTTTTAAATGCAGGAACAGAATAATAAATGTTTTGATAGTAATTTGACAGAATAATCTTACGTATCAGATTTAATCAGAAATCGGCCTTGTCTTTAGAATCTCGTTTTTTTTGGTAATTAAAAATTTTTTAAATAGACTTTATTTTTCAGACCAGGCTTTAAGTTTACAGTGAAACTGAGCAGAAGGTATATAACGTTTTCATATAACCTACCCACCCCCCACCTACTCTGACTTTCTTCACCATTGATATATACATTGAGATTAGAGATTGCACCACCACACCCGGCTTAATAATGTATTACGAAAGTATCAGTTGTGACTGATAACCCATTGTTTCTATCACTGCCAGGAGAGCTGTAATATATATTAAAGCGTATAGAAATTTTGTTCTGGTCTTGATCCCCTGGGAACCAGAGCCTGACAAAAACGAAAACAATTACTTTGTAGTGTGATAAATGCTGAGAGAAAAAAAAAATTAGTGAATGACTATCTTAACTTACCTCGGGTATACGTATAGAAGTATACACTATTCAGAGAAAAATTTATTTGAATTACCTTTTGAATTATTTATCTAAAGGAGAAATAAAGTATTTAAGAGAAATCAGCAAAAGCTAGGTGACTCAAGTCAGCTCGAAGGAAACGTGATTTCGGAAACATGCAGCGAGACTTTTACTGTTTATAGGACGAGTGGAAACAGCTGCAACAGTAGTTTGCGATCGACTACATCTTGTACAAAGGAGGAGGGCACCCCATGGTGTCTTGTTTTTCTTACCAGCTTGCGGGAACTCGCAAGATCAAGAGTCTCAATCTACTCTCCCAAGTGAGCACAAGAGATCCGGATCACATCTGGCAAACAAGCACACAGACACTGATGCACTCCGCCCCATACTGGCTGACAGTGCTTCACAAATGAGGATAAAGAGAATGGGGGAAGTAGGGAAGAACTAGTATACGTGGTTCCCCTCCCTCCTGGAAACTCAAATGCTTCAGCCTGCGGCCCTGAGTGACAACTAACTGGCCATCAGCCAACACCCTCGAAAATCACCTAACGTTCCCCAAATATAAGACCATGGTGCTTGAAATAAACGCGCCGGCCACAAGACTCACCTAACCACCCAGCAGGTTAAGCGCTTTCAAAACTCAGCGATTGAATTCTTAAATGTGTCTGAGATCCGAACTCAGAGGAATTCGCGCCTAAACAACCAAAAACCAAGGAGACCGGAAGTGTGGGGAAAGAAAGCGGAACCCGTCAGAGCGAGAGGCGGACCTCTGACGTCATCAGAAACGCAGCCACCAGAGAGCGATTTGATTGGCTTCCGGGGCCGGGATTCGTCCGGCTGTTTGTTGGCTCAGGCAGGATTGGGTCTCTAACTCGTAGAGCGGGAATCTGAATAGTCCAGTCGCCCTTTCCTACAGTAGAGTCCGAAACAGCTGGGCTAGTTAAGACTGCACTTAGAAGCCCTCCCGGCTTTCTGTGTAATCGTTTTTTTTTTTCTTCTTTTAAGTTCATCTCTTTTGCTCTATGTCCTTTCTCTACCCACACAGCAGGGTTTTTTCCTTTGCGTTTTTACCTACCTGCTGTAACTGGATCCCACTCACCTTCTAGATGCTCGCTTCCACCGACTACTCATTTTTGGCTAAGTTCTTGGGAATTCGGACGTACAGCTGCAAAGCAAGTGCTTTTAACACCGCAGGAACCATGTCAGTATCTTCTCTGACCACCCAAGCACCTAGTAGGTAGAGGTCACTCCCTGACTGCCTTGCTTCTAGCCAGCCGTTCTACTTATTAGGGTTTTTGCAAGAGACGTGGGACAAAATGTAGGTGGAGTTAGAAGAGAAACTAGGAAAGACAGATCTAAATTGACATACAAGTGTAAATTATTTATTTGTTACTTTTTCGTTGCTTGGACAAAATATCCAACACCCACAAGTTAGAGGAAAGGTGTATTGTAATTTACAGGGGTTTTAGTCCAAAGTCAGCTGGTTTTAAGGCAGGGCCATGTGGTAGAGGAGTACAATTCATGGTATGGCAGGCAGGAGGCAAGTTGCCTTTCTTTTTTCCCTCCTTATTTCATCCAGGCTACAAGTCTATTGGCTAATGCCGCTGACACCGAGGGTGTTCTGTTTTCAGTAAATACATTCAACCATACTCAGAACTATGTTAATCAGGGGACTAATTCAGTTATCACACACTTTTAATCCAGTATCACACAATTATCCTGTTTTAATCACTGTAGCTTTATAATATAGTTTGAAATCTGTGATGGCTCCTTCTTTGCTTTTGTTATCCAGTATATAGTGATATTCTTTGCTCCTTCTGATTGGTTTTAGTTTGAAATTCAGTTAGGTACGTTACAGAAATGGAAAGGCTTGGTCTTACAAAAGCCAAAGGATACCACCGTAGATACACTAAGGTTCTACAGCAGATCCCACTCATCAGAAACTGATCAGTGGTCCAAGTAACCCTGAGTACATCTTTCAAAGGTTACACCATGAAAACAGGTGTCTAGTTCTAGCCAACCAAAAGTTTAGTTCCTTAGGGTACAGGATTAATTGCCTGGGATTTCACTTGAAAATGTTATGAAGAAGCAGCTGACTGCAAAATTTGTCTTCCTCCTTTTATAAGGGGTCCTAATCAATTAGTAGTGATTTCAAAAAAAGTTCTTAGATCAAAAGGGTCTGTTGAGAAACTTGATTTTTTTCTAAATTATGTATCAAAGAGCAGGGACAGTATAAAATTTTATTATTAAACACCGAAAAAAGGTTGAATGATCACCTGTCTAGAAATTGATGATTCAAGCACCACAATATAAATTTTTATAAAAAATTGTAAACATTAGTACCTTATTTCTAAAACATGAATAGAAATGCTGTAAAAATTCAGGTTTCCTCACAAAATACTTGTTCGAATGCTTGTAATTTAGATTAGGTGCGTCAGAAGGCAGCAAATAGCCACAGGTGTGAGCTTGGGTCTAGGCAGTGGCTGCAGGTGCATGGTGGGGGGCGGAGCCTGGAGCCTCTGTAGCCAGTGCATACCTCTGCCCATCAGTGCCACCAAGTTTGGGATTTTTAAGGCTAACGAATTTTTATGTAGGGAATCGCAATCTTTGTCCCTTTAGAGATGGGTAAATAACCTAAATATGTAAATCAGCTATAGAATGTAAGAAAAAGGGAGCAAAGAATAGGGAAATTGGGAACAAATTAGAGGAAAAATATGTCTGGACCAGCTACATAATCATTGTTATAAAATCTTGTACCTAAGGCCAGTTTGTCGTTTTAGTCCCCTAAGAGGCAACCCTTGTCTTTGATTTTAAGTATTCCTAGTTTTTTTTTAAAATGACCTTTATTTAAGGACACAAGAGAAGCCTTCCCTAAGTTAACCAATTGTGAAGTGCATGATTCCAACAAATAATAATCACAGTTATTTCTTTTACATGCATAGAATTGTAGGTGTACATCCTAGGTTCAGCGTTACTTTAATATATGCATTGATTTTGAACCAAATTCAATTTTTATATTGAAATCTGGACATTAATTTTTTAGTGTGTGACAGTTTTGTCTTATATTCTTTAATTGAAGCCAATTCTGAACTTACATTACTATTTTAGGCTATCTTTCTTCCTGGGAATTGGAATGAACTTCTATATGGAAAGAGCGGAGGACAGCTGGGAGAATGCTATGGGCTCACTTAATACAGGAAATTTGTAAGATAACATTGCCAGACATCAGGATGGTCACTTACTGAACAGCTACACATATGATTTAAGATAGAGAATTTTAATAAAGAAAATAAATATTTTACTCAACATGGCAGGTAGTAGTTTTAAGAAACTTATTGCTAATATCTGAAGTGTAATACACATTTAGGTTTGCATTTACGCATATTAAATAAATAAAACTGGCTCCATCTAGTGGTTAACAATATAAATTGATTTAAATCATTGTTTAGCTGGGCATGGTGGCATATGCCTGTAATCCCAGCACTTGAGAGGCTGAGGCAGGAAGATTGCCATGAGTTTGTGGCCATCTGGGGCTACATAGTGAGTTCAGACACATATCACTATATGAAAAAGTAAAAGGAATTTGAATAGGAGGAAGAAATGAAAGTTATAATTTAATTAGTATTATCCACATAATTTTGAGTTAGAATCCCTAGTATAAAATTGCCTAATTAAAATTTGATTTTTTTTTTTTTTGGTACTGGGGATCAGACTGACAACTGCATGCTTGCAAGACAGGTGCACTTATGCCACTGAGCTAAATCCCCAGCCCCAAAATTTGATATTTTACACTTTATTTATTAATGTTATGGTTCAGACAGGCATGCAAACAAAGATCATTTAAAGATTATTATCATTTCAGTAATTTATTTTAATTTTAACTATTAAAATGTGATAAGCTTGTTTGTGCTTATTCATTTTACATATTAAATTATTTTGATATATTTAAAAATAATTTATAAGTTTAAAATTTTTATAAAATAAAAAATGAGTAACAGCCAATAGGGTCCATATGAAATACAACTTAGAAATGGAGAAATAGAGATTTTGAAGTTGGGAGGAACTTTTTATAATCATTTTTGTCCTAAAATTTTATTTTTACAGATAAGGAAGCTGAACTTCAGGGAAATCCAGTGACTTGCCCAAATATCAATGAGGAACATAATAAATTAGAACCTAGACTTTTGTATCATAATTCACTGTTCATCAGTTTATTAATTATTTATTAGATGACTGTTTTGTGCACATTATTGTAGTAGGCACTTATGTTCTACAAAATAATTAGAAGATAGTTCTAATAATTAGAGGATATTCTACGTATTAGTCCTCTGAGGAGTAACTGGCAAAAAATTTCCCCATTTCATAGGTTGTCTCTTCACTCTGTTGGTTGTTTCTTTTGCTGTGCAGAAGCTTTTGAGATGGTCCCATTTGTTGATTACTGGTGCTATCTCCTGTGCAGTTGGAGCTCTGTTCAGAAAGTCCATGCTACTTCTGTGCCATCCAGAGGTTTACTTATCTTCCAGCAGAATAAGTGTTTTTGTTTCAATGCTTAAATCTTTGACTCATTTTGATTTTTATTTAGTGCATGGTGACATATATTTTTCAAGTACTAATTATAAAATAGCAAATTCTTTTCCTCTGTTTATATTTCAGTGATCATTTATAAAAATATTTACAACTCAACACTAAAGTAATACTTTTTATAAAAACTATAGAAAACAAAAGATTATATATGAAAATAGAAATCAATCCTTTTCCCATGTTTGGAGATCATTCTTTCTAATAACATGGGGCGCATTGACAAATAGCCAGTCAACTAGGAAATCCCAGATCACAGTAACACTTTGCTCTACTTCAAAGGGACAAAGGCCCATCTAGGCTGGGTTAGAAGCCCTGGACCCAAGCTTACTCACAAGACAACAGAAGATTTCCAGGTGTGCAGAACTCAGATTGTCCCATGGGCCTCAGCAATGTGTAGGCAGGGAAGCACAACTGTCCATTGTCTATTGAAAAAGCTGGCTGAAAGGAAGAAAGCCGCCCCCTCCAAATACTTCATAGTTAAGATCATGAAGGTTGTGATGTATAAGTGTACAACCTGCTGATATTTAGATGAGAAATATCAGAGGTCAGGGAGTGGGCTTTATGGCTTAGCAATTTGATGGTGATATGCGCATCTCAGATGATGACGTCATTCTATTTATCCAAGAGGAGTCTGGGCATTGTGATATACACCTGTAATCACAGCACTTGGGTAGCTTAAGCAGGAGGATCTCTGCAGATTTGAGGCCAGCCTGGGCTTCAAAGGGAGTTCAAGGCCAGCCTGAACTATATAGTGACCCTGTCTCAAAAAAAAATTATCCAAGAAAGAGAAGGAAAAAAGTAAAGTATGGGTTAGTTAATGGGGAAGAAATTAATCTGTTTCTTGGATTAGATCTATTTTCTTCCTTTAACCTATTGATATTCCTTTAATTTTGGTAATAAGGCTAATACAAATCTCAATATCAAAGCATATTTGATTGCTCCTGTCTCGGGGTGGAAAGGCTGGGAAGAATGACAGGTCTAAGAGGGACAAGACTTCCAAAAGCCACAGCAGGACACACTGTGTTAAGCAGAAAAGAGCAGCAGCCTCACTAAGGTTGCTACATAATTAGGAAACTGCAGCCTTGGAGAAGCAAGGGAACAGGAGGCCTGGATGCTCAGGCCTGAGCTATTGGCATGCATAATCCTGCTTTTCTTGCAGCATTAAGGTGGGAA